CAGTGTTCAGAGTGACTCCTTCTCGCCGACCTGTGTTAGTTTACGCACGGTTCGCGCCTTCGTACGTGGACCACGCATTCGTGAGAGCACGCACGAATGCTGGGATGTTCCCTGTGAGGTCCATGTTAGTTTACGCATGGTTTCTCACAGGAAATTTCGTGACTAAGTGCTTTTCTTTCAAGACATTCTGCAGTGAGTCTGGCGTGTTCTGTGTTAGTTTACGCACAGCCACGCCAGTCATACGTGTGCTACCGTGGCAACATAATTCGTGGGCGTTCGTGCGTGCTGCGCCGCGCCATCGCTACGCACGGGAACGTTCGTGACTAAGTGCTTTTCTTTCAAGACATTCTGCAGTGAGTTTTGTGTTAGTTTACGCACAATTGCGAATCTGTCGTGCATTCGTGTGATTCGTACGTGTGCTGTGGCGTGGCGCTGACCAGCCAGTGTGCTTCGTGCACTGGTACAGCTCGCCAGGTGCCTGGTGCTGTGTTAGTTTACGCATAGCACCTGATTGCCCGCGCCATTTGTGCAATTGTGAGTCATATGTGTGTGCTCAGTGCTTTGGGAAAATATCCATTTGTAACCTAGGTCTTCACAATACGATACCAGTGAGTGACGTGATACTCGCTTGTGAACCACTGTGAACCCACTGCGTTGTTAATAGGTCTTGGGATCTGTGGCACACAGCTACGAGCCTCGTTGGGGCGGCTGTACGGCCATGTCATCTCAGGAACCAAGAGGCAAACGGCCCATGTCATCATGCGACGACGACTGTCAGGGCGACGTGGAGGAAGTGGAAGGGCCAGCGAAGAAACCCAAGGACAACCTGCATTGCAGAGGCGATGCCACAGAAGCGCCTCAGCTGATCCCAGCTGCTTCCCCAGATGGAAAGGGGACGATGAGGACAGCCGAGGCCAACCCAAGCCCGGCCCAGCAGGTGGACACCCCCCAACATATGGGGACCATGGAAGTGACCCAGGACCCTCCTCCTCAGCAGATGGCACCAGGAACAACCAACCCAGACGAAGCCTCACAGGCAACAGAGGAGAACGAGATGGAACAGGGGCGCTCAAGACCTCAGAACCGTGCTGCAAGGCAACCAACTGTGGCCTTCAACAAGTTCATTATCCCTCACTACGACATGGTGAAGAACCTGGAGGCGACCGTGCCTTCCATCAAGCTCAGCTGCGACATCACACTCAGGGGAGAGATCGTGGCGAAGCCGCGCGACGAGGACACATACGATCGACTGAAGGCAATGGCTGCAGAGAATCCGAGGATAAGGGAGCTCCTGGCTCAAGAAAAGATGCACAAGGGGGTTGTGCTCCACGTCCCTGTACCCATACCAGCAGAGCGATTCCTCGATGCAATCAACATTGTCAAGGCAGAGAGGCTGACCACCGGGACCAACAAGATTCCAACACGGAATATGTTGATCCACCACCGAGGGCCCCTACCATCCCACATCGCACTGGGGGTGTGGGGGCGGTTCAAGATTCGGCCATATGTAGAGGGCCCACTACAATGCTACAACTGCCAGGGTTTCAACCATATCGCGGCTACCTGCCAACATGTGAAGAAGTGTGGAGTCTGCAGCAAGCAGCACGACTCCAAGGATTGCATTGCATTGCTCAAGCAGCCCGCCCCCGAGACCCCACGCCCCGAACCCAAGTGCGCCAACTGCGGCAAGAAACACCACGCATGGAACCAGGGCTGTCCTGTCATGGTACAGCGGTGGCAACAGGTGCGACAGCGGATGGCCCCTGCGGCGACAGCCCAGCCCAACTCGGTAAACACCCAACAGCAACAGGTGGGGACATCGACCAATGCCCCCTCTCCACGCCCCAACCCATGGAACTATCATCACCGGCCAATCGCGGCAGCCAGTACAGGCCCCTCTGCGGCGGCCACATCCTACAGCAGAGAGTTCCCAGCACTGGGGGAGCAACAGAGGAGACCAGTTTGCACCAAAAGGGGAACAACGGCATGGGCAAGTCTCGAAGCCTCAGCAGAAACGGAACAAAGGAACACAACAAGCCCGGCTCAGGGACGCTGCTCAAGGAGCTGCGGCTACTCAGCACCAGACAGGACACCAGCAAGGGACTTCCCGTCCGAGTCAGTCCCCACCCGAGTGCAGCAGGAAACAGGCCGCGGCACCCAGTCAGATGGCACAGAGAACCACGGAGACCTGCGCGACCTGCGGGTCAGCAGCAGCAACAATCCGGGAGTGGGCCAACAACCTCAGGCCGCAGCCAAGGAAGCCCTGTCCCCCCAGAGGGAGGGCACCTCGCAGGTTCACATTGTCACCGTAATCAAGCTTGTGGTAGAGGTGCTATCCATGCTACTCCCATCAATGAAGGACAGGCAGGTCTGCAAGGAGCTCCTGACTACCGTGTACAGCATGGCTCTCCTGGAGAGGGTCGACTCAGCAGCCCTGAAAGATCACCTCACCCAGGTCTTCACGCCCGAGGAAATGGTAGAACACGCACGGGTGTTCCGGAGGACCATGGCCGAACAGGAGGAGATGGAGTCCGACGGGTCGCCCGGCAGTCCCTAAAAAATTCTCCAGTGGAACATCTGTGGTCTGAGGCAGAAACTCCACCTAGCTATCCAGGCGGCAGTCCGGGATGAGATAGATGTGTTTCTGTTCCAAGAAACCCTTGTCAAGCCCCCACCCGCCCACACAGCCACGCATCCCTGGGTTCTCTGCATACCTGCAGCGTGGTGGGCCCCCCCAGGGGCACCGCAATCTATGTGCGGAATTGCATCCCCCACTCGATCGTCACTGACCCTATCAACTGCGGTGAAGGGGTGGAGGTGCAAGCTGTCACGCTGCAACTGCCATCTGGTCCACTGACTATTTACAATGTGTACCGGAGCACACGGTTTACTCTCGACCTCTCGGAGGTTGCAGCTCTGTCCATATCTCGCCTCGAGGGCGTGCTCGTGGCGGGGGACATCAACGCCCATCATGAGCTTCTCCACTCTGTCTCCCATACCAATGAGACGGGCAGGCACTTGGCGGCTGTGCTCGATGATGTTCCTGACGTCGTCCTCCTCAACAATGGGGAGCCGACACACCACGGCGGCAACCGACTGGATGTCACTCTCCTCTCTCGGAGATTGCAGCCTGGAGTGAGGTGGGAACTCCACCCACTTCTCACCAGTGACCACTTCGCGATCGTCACCACGCTGGCGCTCACCCAGCACATCCCATACACACCGCCTCCACGGTGGAATTTCAAGAAGGCGGACTGGCAGTGCTTCCAGGATGTCATACAGCAATGGTGGGAGACGACCTCCCTCTCTGACAATCCTGATGCGGCTGCCCAGAACCTCCAAGCTGCCGTCACCCATGCGGCTGAGGTGGCCATCCCACTTACCAAGGCTGGAGGTACCATCAAGCGGGACTGGTGGTTCTACGACGAGACAGTCAAGGAGCAGAACCACCGTGTCAACTGTGCCCGCAGGCTCCACAGACGCAACCCTACTGCTGACACCCTTCGGCTGCTGAGAGAGGTGGTGCGGCACGCTCGCCACATCTCCCACAGAGTCCGCCTGGCAAAGTGGTTCGAATGGTGTGCCTCCTTCGGCCATGCCACTACCCTGTCTGAAATCTGGCGAAAATAGGTATAGCTACCGGAAAACGCAGAGGAACAGCGCGTGCTCACCATGACCCGGCTGGTGAAGCAGAGAGGCTGGTCGACCTCTTCACTTCCAGGCAGCAACAGCACGCCTGCCACAAGATGTGCAGAACCTCCAGGCTGTCCTCCTCCCAGACAGGACTGCCAGGCTACAGGCTGCATGCTGCGAACACGACGACACCGATGTAGACTTCAGCGACCGGGAGCTGAAGGCAGCCCTCAGGACATCACACGACACCACCCCCGGCCAGGATGGCATCACCTACAGTATGATCGCAAGGGCGGGCCCCTCTGGACATGATGCACTCTTGGAGGTCATCAACTGCTCCTGGAGGGCTGGACAACTCCCCACTGCGTGGAAGGAGGCCATCATCCTGCCCATCCCCAAGCCCAGGGACCCGGGAAGCATGAGGCCCATCTCTCTCACCAGCTGTCTGTCCAAGACGGCTGAGAGGATGATCCTTGAGCGACTACGGTGGAAGCTTGGCCCGGAACACCGTCACATATACGGCTTCACACGAGGAGTGGGCACAGCAGAGAGCATCACCACCCTCCTTGCAGGCATTGGGTCAAACAAGAGACCCAAAATTGTTGTCTTCCTGGATCTCGAGAAAGCCTTTGAGCTTGCCAGCGCACCAGCCATCCTTGACCTCCTAGCAGGCAGGGGCGTGAAGGGAAGGCTCCTTGCCTGGATCTCTTCATACCTGCAGGGCAGGTGTGCACGAGTGCGTTTCCAGGGACAAGTGTCCACCCTCAGGCCCCTTGAAAAACGGCACCCCGCAGGGAGGGGTCCTCAGCCCCGCTCTCTTCAATGTCCTGATGCATGAGCTGGTGCAGCTGCCATTCTCTTTAGGCACCCAGCTGCTCAGCTACGCTGATGATCTTGCCCTCATCATCACCGAGAGATGTGGTTTGATGCATAGAGCCCAACGTGACCTTAACCTCCTCTCCACCGCCTGCCGTCGTCTCGGCCTCAAGGTCTCAGCAGAAAAATCCAAGGCCATGATCCTGCATGCCATGTGCCGGAGGGGAGACTGCAGATGTCAGGAGTCAATCTCGACTGGGTCAGTAGCTACCTGTACCTGGGGGTGCACATCGACAATCGGCTCTCCTTTCGGAATCAGGCGGAGTACGTCAGAGAGCGGACCATGCAACGGGTCACCGCCATGCGGGCCCTCGCCAGCCCTAGGTCAGGGCCAGCCGTGACATTCTCCGATTATTCTATGTGCAGGCGGTGCGCTCTCTCATCGACTATGGGGCACTTACCCTTGTCCATGCCCGCCCAACGCACCTTCGAAGACTCAACGTCGTCCAAAATACTGCAGCTCGATCATGTTGGGGGCGCCGAGGTGGACGAACACTGTGCCCCTGAATCATGAGGCTCAATTGCAGCCGCTACGCGACAGAATCGCCCTTGTGGCAGCCAGGAGGGTGGCCAAGTATGTACAACTCCCCGGTGGAGAGGGACTGCTGCAACACCTCCTTGAACGGCAACAGGGAGACCTCAGGGAGTCTCCTGGCCGGCTGTGGGTGTGGGTCAGTGGCTGATGTAGCAAGCAAACTCCTCCCCATGGCGCTTATAGTCGACAAGGGCTGTGACCGGCCTGTGGCGGGGTACTCTGTACTCCCGCCCTGGGCACCAGAAGCAGTTGTGATCCACATCCAAGACCTCCCAGTTAGCAAGCGTCACTGTCCACAACACGTGCTGCAGCAATGGGCTGCAGTGAGTATTGCAGCAGCGAGCACCCTGGGTGCGCCGTATATTACACCGATGGCTCCCGAGATCCAGAGGCTGGCCGCACAGGTGCCGGGGTGCACCATGCCACCCTGACGGCTGGATGGCGTCTCCAAGATCACTGCACAATTCTCCAGGCAGAACTCCATGCCATCCAGAGGGCCCTGCAACACACACTCCTGGATCATCGGCGACCCCCAGTCATTCATGTGGACTCCAGAGCGGCGATCCAGGCCGTCATGCACAGGGAGCCCAGGGACAACATCCGGCTAATTACTGCCATCAGGAAGGACCTGCAGACACTTAAGGAGCAGGGACAGCAAGCAACAATCAACTGGATACCGAGCCACATCGACCTCGCTGGGAATGATGCGGCAGATCGAGCGGCGAAGTCGGCAACCCTTGAGGCCCAGCCAGTGACCACCATTGCTATCAGCCGAAGGCAGGTGGATCTGTGGGCAGCTGATGCAGCCAGGCGCCCGCTACCAGGGCCAGGCACATCGCGGAGCCGGATCTGGTATGACAGGGCGACCCGTGGGGAGCCCCCGCCGAGCATGCGGAGGCTAGACAGGAAGTTGCAGGTTGGGGTCCACCGGCTGCGACTTGGCTACCCTACTGCCAGAAGACTCATTGACCGCGTGCGAGAGGAGCGCTGCTGCCATTGCAACCAGATGGTCCCAGGTCCACTAGTGCACTACCTCCTTGACTGTCCAGCGACGGTGCCACTCCGACGAAGGCACTTCCCAATGGCGCCTGGGGACCCGAACCGAGAAGACACCGCAGCCCGGCTGGTGTACCTCGCCACCCAAGACCTGGGAACTCTCATCCCCATCCTGGCTGCCCACCCACCACCTCGATGACGCCGCCACATACAACTACGAGTCGCCACTACGTTCCATCTATCACCTCTCCTACTCTTCCTTCTTTCACTCCCCTACCTCCTCTCCCCCCCGCTTAAAAAAAAAAAAAAAAAAAAAAAAAAAAAAAAAAAAAAAAAAAAATCCAATGGAGCCTGTACCGCTTTCTAGGTAAAAGTCTGAATCACCTAGAACCATGCCACACTACCAACATTTGACGGGGCTACAAGTGCCTGAAGACCCTTGACCTTGCGATGCCTGCCGACGAGAAAGAAAGAAGACACTCCCCACTTGGGGAGTCAGTGCAAGATAGAAGAAGAAGTTACCCTCCAACCGGAGGGCCCAAGAGAGAAGATAGAAGAATGAAGAAGACGATCGACACCCCCGCCCCGGGGGCCACCGCCGGGTCACCATCTGGAGAAGACCCGGGCCGGAAGTACCGGCAAATCTTTAATGAATGAATGAACCCTAACAGTAGACAACAACTGCGACTTCTGCGCCAGCGCTCGTCGGGTGTGGATGTCTTTCCTCGCCTGAGTGTCCGTGATAAATTTCCCCCGTTCTCTCTGGGACGCTTGTCCTCATCTATTTTGTCCCTCGGGCACATTACAGGAGGGGCACCCGGTCCTGTAACCTCCGTGGCCTGGTGGCTAAATCTCCCGCTTCACACACGGATGGCCCGGGATCGATTCCCGGCGGGTGGAAACATTTCGGCACTTTTTCTTACACCTGTTGTCACCTAGCAGCAAATAGGTACCTGGGTGTTAGTCGACTGGTGTGGGTCGCATCCTGGGGGACAAGATTGAGGACAGTCCTCGATGACGCACTGACTTTCTTGGGTTATCCTGGGTGGCTAACCCTTCGGGGTTAAAAATCCGAACGAAATCTTCTCTTATCGGTTTACTTTCAGCCATGTTTCCACTTTGAGGATAATTCTCAAACGGTTTTCGGTGGGAAACCGGTTACTGAACTCAGGTGGCGGTGTGGGCCTCACACTGCTGGTGCTTGACAAGGAGGTCCACCGGATCTAGTTGGAAACTTCAGGTTTATATTTCTATTTACAAAGGAACTCTTTTTTCCTTTATCTTTCATCGCCCAGCTTTGGGAAACAAATCATCACCGAACATCGGGAAGTCGGGTTCGATACTGCGTAAGCCGTCAGGGGCCCTGATAAACCCAACAAACAAACAAAAACAATGGCTGAGTTTGGGGCTCATATTACCGTCACAGCGAGGACACGTCCCTCGATATTTGACGTTGTGGCTCAGGATGGTCTTATGTCCACCCTACAACCGGCTGTGACACATGTCATGAAGGTGATACTCTCAGTTGATGTTAAATAACTGTTGCTCAGTGGTAGTGCCTGTGGCTTTAGAACCACAGGAACCGGGTTTAATCTATATATGACTGAGTAAAAGACAAGCTTTACTTAGGTTGTATGTGTACGATTTTACGTTGGACATGTCTCGTCACACCTGCTGCCCTTGTTTACCAAGCAGTAAGTAGGTACCTGGATGTTAGTTCTGTTGTGGGTCGCAGCCTGGAGAACCTGATTAACATTTGTTGCCCCAAATGCTCTGCATAACCAGGGGCTTCCTATACAATATGCTAAGTTTGTATCGTGTACTTTTTAGAAATAAAGATTATTATTATTATTATTATTATTAGTAGTAGTAGTAGTAGTAGTAGTAGCATTAGTAGTAGTATTATAGGTTAGCCCCAAAATTTTGACTGATTTTCATTGGGGGTTTTCAACTTATTTTTCTATTGAGCAACTCTCTCTACATCTGATGCTATATGACTCAGTCTGTTAAATCTTGATTAGTGCATTTTTGTTAGGATCATGAGAAAACAATCTCATTGTTAAGATGTAACAGGCTCTGCCTCCTGCTGCTTCAACTAACCTGTCTTTGTTATACTATAAGTCACCTTGTGCATATGCTGTACTTTTCTCAAGATTGAGGGACTAAACACATTGACTCCAGGTTGAGGGACTGATTACCTCTAGCTCCTCCTCATTTTATGCCTTTCTATGTTTTGGACTGATGAAGCCACTGGCTGGTGAAACGTTTCAGTAATAAAGATTCCCAAATGTTGCACAAGTGTCTCATTCTTCAACTTGTCGTTTTTTTAAACCATTTACACTATGTCTACATCCTCTTGTAGCCTGCAGCTGTGTTCGTCCGTTTGTATCCAATATTTTAACATCTACAAACAATATGATGTAAGAGTTCACCCCTCTTTGCAGGTACATTATTTTACATACACCAGGAACATTATGGAGGTCTTCCACAGATCTCTGGGAGACACTGCTAGTTACATTCACTAATCCTAACTCATCACTAATGTGACCCTGGTCTCCTGTTGTTTAGGCGCATTACTATTTTCCAAAATCTACACTGGTACAGTATGTTACCTTGGTTTTTTGTATCTAGTTTGTGCAGTATTGCTCTTAGATTCATGGAGAATCACTAAACCCTTAAAAGTGCCTGGAAAATGGGTAGCAATGAGGTTTGATCATTGGAAGGGAAAGGTAGCTTCAATTATTTGGATCAAGATAGCTGTACCAACATAGAGGCATTCCTTGAAGGGAGTTTGTGCACAATAGAAGGCTTATGTGTGGTGTTATATTGTACCACAGGTTTTCTTACATTCTGGGAAGATGCAGTCCACCCAACCTCTTCTGTTTAATTCCCATTTCTCTGAAGTTTGTCAGGCATGACTTCCCAGTTAAAAGCCATATTGTTTAAGGAATTTTGCATTTTCTAAATGTTCCATCTCTTTTTTTTTTTCTTTTTCTTTTCATCTTCCATTACATTGCACAGTGAGCTTATCAGGAACACTTGTTGGTAGTTTCAGGGGCCCTCCTTTCTTGAATTTTGGTATTTATAGTACTGTATTACATTTAGTGTTGTCTAAGTGTAATATAAAATCTAAATATAAAGGGAATTGGTAATCATGAATTCCTACATCATTCATGAGAATATAAAGAGAGGATGTTGATAATCATTTTAAATATCTCTAAATGTGTATGTTTCAGGTGGTAGCGGAAAGCAATCCTGAGAAATACGAGTGGTGTTTGAAATATTCCAGTGAAATATTTGCAGCATTTAATCTTATTTTACAGCATCACTACTTATCAAATTATGGTGAGTAAATTTATTTTATACAGGTCCACCATCACAAATCTGGCAATCAAACATTCAGTTCCATCAGTTATTCAGCACTAATTTTGGCTAGCATAATTTCAAATTTCCAGGGTTGCCACAGAAACCTGTTGGTACTGTTTGGTGGTGCTACTTATTTATTTTTATTTATTTATTATTTATTTATTTATTTATTTATTTATTTATTTTTTATTTGGACATAATACATAGTTGTACAAAGAAATATAGTGATTGGGTGTATAGTGAAACCTCAAATTTCGAACGTATCACTTATCGAACTCTTCGAAAATAGAACGCTTTTTTCGAACTAACTTTGTCCCTATTATCGAACTCGCCCCTATTTTCGAACCATCGGGTACCGGACCTGTCCGGCAGCCCGTTCTGTCCGTGTCCTCACGCAGGCACCGTGAGCCAGTCTGGTTTTGTTGATGCTTGAGAGAACACTAACCTGCGCTCTCATTCAAACATTTTATTTCATTGTGTTTAGGGCTTGTGGGACTGTGAAATAAGCTACAGTGGGCCCAAAGAAACTTGCTAGTGGTACCCCTGTGGTAAAGAAAGTGAGAAACACCATAGATGTGAAGAAGGTAATAAAACAGAAGTGGAATGATGTCCAAATGTTTGTGGAGAAGTATCACCCTGAGCAAGCTGAAACAAGCCATTTTTGCAACAAGTTCAGTGACAGAACCATGTCCCATTTTAGGGAAATCTTAAAGAGGCACCAGAAACAGAGGACTGTGGACAGTTATTTTGTGAGACAAGGGTCAAGTGACTCAAACTGGTCCTAGTGGCATCAAAAGACAGAGAAGGGAAGTAACCCCAGAGAGGGCTTTGATATCTGAAGTCCTCATGGAGGGGGATTCTCCTTCCAAACACTAACCCTAACTCCCTCTCTCCTCCTCCCTATCTTCCAGATGCCATCACCAATCTTCAATAAAGGTAAGTAAAATGTTATTTTATATGTTCATTTAAATTTATTAATACATAATTGAACACTATATTTGTTGTATGTAAAACTATAATTAATCTCTATAATTTTTTTTTTTTTTTTAAATATTTTTGGATTTCTGGAATGGATTAATTGTATTTCCATTATTTCTTATGGGAGATATTGCTTCGCTTTTCAGACTTTTCGAATTTAGAACTAAGTCCTGGAACAGATTAGGTTCGATATTTGAGGTTCCACTGTACATGCCAAAAGCCCCTTGTATGCAGAGCATTATGGGCAGGCTTTAAATTAACTTAAGATTAAATAAGCAGTGATATATTCAGTGGTAAAAATTACAGTAAACAAATTACAACATGAAGTACAAATGAGTATTTCAAATAAGAAGCATTAAAGTTGTACAAATTTGTAGCATAACAATATATAATATAATCCGATCAAATCGAATAAAATTAATGATTTGTAGTGCAGAAACAGGTCATATGGTCATTTGATGAGTTACTGTGCATTCAAGAGAATGGAGTATTCAGTTAGGTAATGTAATTAAAAAAAAACATAGTTTGATAGGGTCACAGGTTATACATTTATGAGATACAGTTATTCAATATTTATTTAGTTGTGGGTGAGTAAGTGGTTTTTAAGAAGAGTCTTGAATTGATAAACAGACAGTGTTTCGTTTATATTCACAGGTACTGAATTCCAGATTTTTGGGCCTTTTATGTGCATTAAGTTTTTACAGTGTGAGATGGACACGGGGATCATCAAAGAGTGATCTGTGCCTTGTGTTATGGTCATGTGTTCTGTTGAGGTTGGTAAGGAGAAGTTTGAGGGGAGAGTTTATATCCGAGTTTAGCATTCTATGTATGTAGTAGGCACAATAATAAGTATGGATGTTTTGTACGGTGAGTAAGTTTAGAGAAGATATTGGTGGAGTATGCTGCCTGGAGTGGGAATTTGTTATCATTCTGAGTGCAGCCTTTTGCTGGGTAATTAATGGTGTGATATGATTTATTGTTGTTGAGCCCCATGCACAAATTCCATAGGTGAGATATGGGTAAATGAGTGAGTGATATAGGGCCAGGAGGGCTGATTGTGGAACATAGTACCATATCTTCGATAGTATGCCTACGGTCTTGGAGATTTTCTTGGGAATTTGTTATACAGTACTTGTGTTTGAAATTTGAGTGTATTATCAAGGTGGATTCCTAAGAATTTTCCCTCTATGAGCTTTGTGATAGGTGATCTGTTTATCATTATGTTAAGTGGAACATCTGTAGTTCTGTTTCCAAACTGAATGAAGTAGGTTTTGTCAGTATTGAGAGTAAGTTTGTTGATCATCATCCAGGTAGATTTTATTTTTTTTTTTTTTATTATCACACTGGCCGATTCCCACCAAGGCAGGGTGGCCCGAAAAAGAAAAACTTTCACCATCATTTACTCCATCACTGTCTTGCCAGAAGGGTGCTTTACACTACAGTTTTTAAACTACAACATTAACACCCCTCCTTCAGAGTGCAGGCACTGTACTTCCCATCTCCAGGACTCAAGTCCGGCCTGCCGGTTTCCCTGAATCCCTTCATAAATGTTACTTTGCTCACACTCCAACAGCACGTCAAGTATTAAAAACCATTTGTCTCCATTCACTCCTATCAAACACGCTCACGCATGCCTGCTGGAAGTCCAAGCCCCTCGCACACAAAACCTCCTTTACCCCCTCCCTCCAACCCTTCCTAGGCCGACCCCTACCCCGCCTTCCTTCCACTACAGACTGATACACTCTTGAAGTTATTCTGTTTCGCTCCATTCTCTCTACATGTCCGAACCACCTCAACAACCCTTCCTCAGCCCTCTGGACAACAGTTTTGGTAATCCCGCACCTCCTCCTAACTTCCAAACTACGAATTCTCTGCATTATATTCACACCACACATTGCCCTCAGACATGACATCTCCACTGCCTCCAGCCTTCTCCTCGCTGCAACATTCATCACCCATGCTTCACACCCATATAAGAGCGTTGGTAAAACTATACTCTCATACATTCCCCTCTTTGCCTCCAAGGACAAAGTTCTCTGTCTCCACAGACTCCTAAGTGCACCACTCACTCTTTTTCCCTCATCAATTCTATGATTCACCTCATCTTTCATAGACCCATCCGCTGACACGTCCACTCCCAAATATCTGAATACGTTCACCTCCTCCATACTCTCTCCCTCCAATCTGATATTCAATCTTTCATCACCTAATCTTTTTGTTATCCTCATAACCTTACTCTTTCCTGTATTCACCTTTAATTTTCTTCTTTTGCACACCCTACCAAATTCATCCACCAATCTCTGCAGCTTCTCTTCAGAATCTCCCAAGAGCACAGTGTCATCAGCAAAGAGCAGCTGTGACAACTCCCACCCTGTGTGTGATTCTTTATCTTTTAACTCCACGCCTCTTGCCAAGACCCTCGCATTTACTTCTCTTACAACCCCATCTATAAATATATTAAACAACCACGGTGACATCACACATCCTTGTCTAAGGCCTACTTTTACTGGGAAAAAATTTCCCTCTTTTCTACATACTCTAACTTGAGCCTCACTATCCTCGTAAAAACTCTTCACTGCTTTCAGTAACCTACCTCCTACACCATACACTTGCAACATCTGCCACATTGCCCCACTATCCACCCTGTCATACGCCTTTTCCAAATCCATAAATGCCACAAAGACCTCTTTAGCCTTATCTAAATACTGTTCACTTATATGTTTCACTGTAAACACCTGGTCCACACACCCCCTACCTTTCCTAAAGCCTCCTTGTTCATCTGCTATCCTATTCTCCGTCTTACTCTTAATTCTTTCAATTATAACTCTACCATACACTTTACCAGGTACACTCAACAGACTTATCCCCCTATAATTTTTGCACTCTCTTTTATCCCCTTTGCCTTTATACAAAGGAACTATGCATGCTCTCTGCCAATCCCTAGGTACCTTACCCTCTTCCATACATTTATTAAATAATTGCACCAACCACTCCAAAACTATATCCCCACCTGCTTTTAACATTTCTATCTTTATCCCATCAATCCCGGCTGCCTTACCCCCTTTCATTTTACCTACTGCCTCACGAACTTCCCCACACTCACAACTGGCTCTTCCTCACTCCTACAAGATGTTATTCCTCCTTGCCCTATACACGAAATCACAGCTTCCCTATCTTCATCAACATTTAACAATTCCTCAAAATATTCCCTCCATCTTCCCAATACCTCTAACTCTCCATTTAATAACTCTCCTCTCTTATTTTTAACTGACAAATCCATTTGTTCTCTAGGCTTCCTTAACTTGTTAATCTCACTCCAAAACTTTTTCTTATTTTCAACAAAATTTGTTGATAACAGCTCACCCACTCTCTCATTTGCTCTCTTTTTACATTGCTTCACCACTCTCTTAACCTCTCTCTTTTTCTCCATATACTCTTCCCTCCTTGCATCACTTCTACTTTGTAAAAACTTCTCATATGCTAACTTTTTCTCCCTTACTACTCTCTTTACATCATCATTCCACCAATCGCTCCTCCTCCCTCCAGGTAGATATTTTCTGTAATTCGGTATTTACAGTATTGGCTAGTATAACTGGGCTTGGGTGAGAGAAGACGTATGTAGTGTCATCTGCAAATAGTGTGGGTTCGAGTAGTTGCTATGCATTTCGTAGGTCGTTTATGTAAATGAGAAGGAGAAGAGGGCCAAGGACACTTCCCTGTGGGACACCAACTGTAATTGACTGTGTGGAAGAGTTTGCTCCATTTGTGTACACATATTGGCTTCTGTTGCTAAGGTATGACTTTAGGTAGTTGAGTGAGTGCCCTCTTATACCATAGTGAGATAATTTTATGTGCAACAAATCATGGTCAACTGTATCAAAAGCTTTACGTAAATCAATGAAGATCCCCACTGGGACTTCTTTTTTCTCGAGTGCAGTGTATATTTGTTCTAGCATGTGTATAATAACATCATTCATATTTTTATTAGGCCTGAACCCAAACTG